GTGGCGGGGTGGGGGGCGGGCTATGGGAAGGTAGGGGGAGAGGTATTTGTTTGCTAGGGTTGCCATAGCAAAATTTCACAAACTGATTGGCTTAGATAAAAGAATTTATTTTCTCACAGTTTTGGAGGCTAGAAGTCCACGATCAATATGTTGACAAATTTGATTTCGCCTGACCCCTCTCTCGTTGGACTGCAGATGGCTACCTTCTCACGGCATCCTCACGTGGTCTTTCTTCTGTACACAACCATTCCTGGTATCTGTGTGCCCAAATTTCCTCTTCTTAGAACAGCAGTTAGATTGGTTTAGGGCCCACTTATCTCCAAATACAGTAATATTCTGAGGTACTGGGGTTAGCATCTTTATATGAAATATGCTGTTGTTGTTTAGTTGCTAAATTGTGTCCAGCTCTTGCAATCCCAAGGACTGTGGCCCACCAGGCTCCTCTGTCCATGGGATTCTCCAGGCAAGAATACTGGAGTGGGTTGCCATTTCCTTCTCTAGGAGATCTTCCCAACCAGGGATCGAACCTGTGTCTTCTGCATTGACAGGCAGATTTTTTTTTTTTTTTTTTTACCACTGAGCTACCAGGGAAGCTCACATAGGAAAATCCTAGACACTATACAGTCCTTGACATCCAAGGATTTTAGCACCTGTAACACTATTTACATTGCCTCTTTGTCCATTGCCTCTTTGTTCAGTGAACCACAGGAGCTGTGACATCAAAGTATGATGTCTATAACATAGTAGGCATTGAATAAATGTTTGTTGAGTGAGTGAAATTTGATTTATTATAAAGAATCTTGTCAAGGCATTGGATGATGTGAAGAAATATACTTTTTAAGATATGAGAGGATGAGAAAGAAAACAGGTTGGTAGGGATACAATGCAGCTAAACAAGTGTTCAGATACAATTATATGACTTCTCTGGTCTGTTCTCAAAAATACCAGGTGTTATCATGTGTTATAGAATTTATTAAGCCATATTTTACTATCATCCAGTACCAGCTAACTCTCAGATTATTTCTCTGAAAAAAAAAAAACTTCAGTATTTTGGAAGAATGCAAACAAAATGTGTTCCAAACAACTTTTTAAGTGAAAGCTAGAGCAGAGCAGAGCTTTCCATTTAAAGTACGCAGACACTCCCACAGAATAAAATTTAGCAGTGAAAGTAATGCCAAGTAATGCTATGCTTTAGCGCTACAATTTTTCAGTGATTTACCACCAGTTCCTAAAAATCTTTCCAAAGTATAAAGAACACTGTCTACAAATTCTGCTCAGCATTCCTAAAGCAGGTTAAGAGAACTAGGGAAAATATGGTAAGGATTTTGCCCTGGTAAACCTTAGTCATAGCAAGATGCTGAGCAGCCCAGTTAAAACCAGGAGATGAACAGGTGACTTCTCAGGCCTGATTCTGGCAACTCTGGATTAAGAAACTGCCAGCAGAAATCCTGTGTCCATACCAAGACATGAGGTTCTCCAGGCTCACACAGCCTGTGAAGAACTTTCTTTCCTTTGAATAGATTAAAACCATAAGCAGATAAAAGAAGGACAAATGATTAACTAATGTAGATAAAATTGAGGTAGGAGATAGATGGGCCCCTGGGCCAGTCAGCTGGGATTTGTAAAGTGAAGTAAAATTAAAGCTTTGGTCTCACCCAGACACTCCAAGGACAAAGCTGATGGCAAAAGCAGAGTGCTGCTAGAATAAAGAGATAATGTGACTACTCCTGAAGTCAAGGAAAACTTCCCTGTATGCACATGTGCAGGAAGGCTCCTTGGGGGTCAAAAAGGGAGGCAGAACCACCCCATAGTATGTGGACATGCACCCACAGGCTTCTGAGGTAGGATCCATCTCAGTAAAAAGTTGCACACACATGTTGGGGAGGATCCTAGGGCCAGTTAGGAGTAAAGAAACAAGATAATTGGCCAAAAGTGAACCAAGACCCTGAGAAACCTGTGTGCATGCAGGTCAAGAAGCAACAGTTAGAACTTGACATGGAACAATAGACTGGTTCCAAATCTGGAAAGGAGTACGTCAGGCTGTATATTGTCACCCTGCTTGTTTAACTTGTATGTAGAGTACATCATGCAAAATGTCAGGTTAGAAGAATCACAAGCTGGAATCAAGTTTCCGAGGAGAAACATCAATAACCTCAGATATGCAGATAATACCACTATAATGGCACAAAGTGAAGAGGAACTAAAGGGCTTCTTGATGAAGGTGAAAGAGGAGAGTGAAAAGCTTGCTTAACACTCAACATTCAGAAGACTAAGATCACGGCATCCAGTCCCATCAGTTCAGTTCAGTTCAGTCACTCATTGGTGTCTGACTCTTTGCAAGCCCATGGACTGCAGCATGCCAGGTCTCCCTGTCACTTCATGGCAAATAGATGGAAAAAAAATAGAAACAGTGACAGACTTTATTTTCTTGGATTACAAAATCACTGGGGATTGTGACTGCAGCCATGAAATTAAAAGATTCTTGCTCCTTGGAAGAAAAGCTATGACCAACCCAGACAGCATATTAAAAAGCAGAGATATCACCTCAACAAAGGTCCATAGTCAAAGCTATGATTTTTCCAGTAGTCATGGACAGATGTGAGAATTAGACCATAAAGAAGGCTGAGCACCAAAGAATTGATGCTTTCAAATTGTGGGGCTGGAGAAGAAACCTGAGAGCCCTTTGGACTGCAAGCTTAAACCAGTCAATCCTAAAGGAAATCAACCCTGAATATCCACTGGAAGGACTGATGCTGAAGCTGAAGCTACAATACTTTGGCCACCTGATGCAAAGAACCAACTCATTGGAAAAGACCCTGATGATGGGAAAGACTGAGCTCAGGAGAACGGAGTGACAGAGGATGAGATGGTTGGATGGCATCACTGACTCAATGGACATGAGTTTGAGCAAGCTCCAGGAGATAGTGAAGACAGGGACGCCTGATGTGCTGTAGCCCATGCGATTGCAAAACGTCAGACTTAGTGACTAAACAACAAAGACCCAGAAGGACTGCCCTATGTGTGTATTTACTTTACCTATTTACTCATTAGAGAGGATGCCCATACCTTTTCTCTTCGGGTGTATATTTCTGCCTAGTTTCTGACTTAAATAAACTCCTTCTCTGTGGGCTCTCCCACTTATGCTGTGTCTTTAATAATAAACTTTGTACCTTTTTTAGTTTTTACCTCCTTGAAACTTTCAGATTAGGGTAAGAGTCACTTTGCTTTTAGCTTCTAGCTCCTGGGCTTCCCTGGTGGCTCAGATGGAAAAGAGTCAGCCCGCAGTGGGGAAGACCAGGGTTGATCCCCAGGCTGGGACGTTTCCCCTGAGGAAGGAAATGGCAGCCCCCTCCAGTATTCTTGCCTGGAAAATCCTGGACGGAGGAGGCTGGCAGGCTACAGTCCATGGGGTCGCAAACAATCCCAAACGACTGAGTGGCTTCACTAAATAAAGTAGGAGATTTATCATTCTTACCTAACAGGACGTCCAGAAGGTGCTGGGAGGTGGGGGCATGAGTCCGCTGTCCTTTCTACCTCTATGAGCATGAGCACTTAAGTCTATTTCTTCCTGGTGGGCTAGTAGCTAGGATTCCTGGTTTTCATCTAGGTTACCCTGGTTCATTTCCTGCGCAGGGAACTAAGATCTCTCTTAAGGACACTGAAACTTACTGTTGTCTATCCAAGATCAAAATGGTGGGAAGAGAAAGGTAGACAGTGACTTCCCGATACCAGGGTCCTTGCCAGTCTTTCCCCAGATCCAACTTCCAGCATCTGAGGAGCGAGGAGCATTCAAGACCAATCGACCCCCATCAGTTACAGGGGACAGCAGTTTCTGACTTTGAAGTGATGCTCACCCACCAGCCTCAACTCTGACTCTTGCTACTGCGTGCAACTCCTGGTTCCTCGCTTGAGGCTTGGCCCCAACTCAGTGAAGGGTGAACAAACACTTGTTGAAAGAAGGGAAGTATGGGTTTAGGGGATGTGGGAGACTGGGGGGAGTTACAGTCCAGTGAGGGAGCCTGCTGAGCAGAGAACAAGGCAGGTGATACAGTTTGATGGGTGCTGTTGTGAACAGAGGGCTGGGAGAGTTGGCCTTGGACGGGAATCAAGGGGAATGACATTTTGATCCGCGTCTTTGAAACCCAGTGAAATTCCTTGTCTGAAGGCGTTTCGGTAAGCTCTTCGCCACTGGGCCTTTTCTCTACAGCAATCAGCCTGTGCGTTTTCAAAAGGCAGTACGCATATATGTGGAATTTAGAAAGATGGTAACGATAACCCTGTACGGGAGACAGCAAAAGAGACACAGATGTATTGAACAGTCTTTTGGACTCGGTGGGAGAGGGCGAGAGCGGGATGATATGGGAGAATGCCACTGAAACAAGTAAATTATCATATGTGAAAAGAATCGCCAGTCCAGGCTCGATGCATGATACAGGATGCTCGGGGCTGATGCACTGGGATGACCCAGAGGGATGGAATGGGGAGGGAGGTGGGAGGGGGGGTTCAGGATGGGGAACACATGTACACCCATGGCGGATTCAAGTCAAGGTATGGCAAAACCAATACAATGTTGTAAAGTAAAATAAATAAATTATTTAATTTTTAAAAAGTTAATGGGCAGCAAAAAAAAAAAAAAAAAAGCCAGTTTCCTCTGAAGAGTTGCCAAACTCCAGCAGCAGAGGCGGCGGCGGGGCACAGCGTCAAGCACGCTGGTCTCAGCAGCGCCCCCTCCGCCCTGGTCCTCAGCCCCGTGCCGCCGGTCGCTGGGCCTGGAGCGGGGGAGCCGAGCCCGTCGCGGCCCGGGCGGCGCCCGGCCCCTATGCGGCGGGCGCGCCCTCGCCTTCCGGCCGGGTGGGAACCGGGGGCGGAGCCGCGGGCGGCGGAGCAAACTCATCCCGGGTTGGGCCCGGCTCCGGCCCGCCGTACGCCCGGGCCCGCCCCTCCTCGCCGCCGCCGCCGCCGCCGCCGCCGCCGAGCTGGGGCGCCGTGGCCTGGAGACCATGCGCCGTTTCCCGCGGGCCCGGTTGCTGGCGCTGCCGCTCGCCCTGCTCGCGGCCTCGGGGGCCTCGGAGGCGCCGCTCAGCGCGCCGCGGAGCCTGGTGTGGGGCCCCGGGCTGCAGGCGGGCGTCGTTCTGCCGGTCCGCTATTTCTACCTGCAGGCCGTCAACTCGGAGGGCCAAAACCTCACCCGCTCGCCCCCAGGTAGCGTTCGGCCGCGGGCCTCCCCTGGTCCCCTCCGCGCGTCCCTCGCCGGGAACCCGCCCGCCGCCCGCGTGGCGTCCTTCCCTCGGCTCTGGTCACCTGCGGGACCAGAGAGGAAGTTAGTCGGGAGGGAGTTGCAACGCAAGTCTGCTGAATGAATAAATGAACTCCGAGCGCCCTTCCGCAGTTAACGTGCGGGGACTGATATTCCTTATGGATGGCGCCCGGGGTGTTAATAAATGCAGTGTGAGTCGCAAGTCGGAGGTGGTCTTTCCACGCCTGGCGTGTTGTCTGATCTGTTACAGCTTGCAGGAAGTGCCTTCACGCCTTGAGTCATCCAGCCCAAGAATCGGATCGGGTCGCGTTGTTTAGGCCTGATCCTACAAAAAGGAGATGTCAGAGTAGCAGGCAAAAAGAGGCAGTTTTGCAGGCTAGATTTTTTGTTTTCTTCGAGTTTCGAGTTCTTGAAAGCGGATTGCAGGAATTAGTGAAACTCGAAATTTATTAGGTTTTACCTCTGCTGAGAGAGGGTACTGTCCTGAATCCCTTCTGCCCACTTATCCTCTCAAGTTTGCAACTTCTTAACAGGTTGTCCTGCTCGTTGCAAGCTGTTGCCGGTCAGGGTTTGCTGATTTATGTCTTGTCAACCTGTTTTGTTGACAAAGAGACAATCAGAATACCCAGTGCCCCTTCCACCGCCAGTGGAAAACTGAGGGGTTTTTTTTGTTGTTTTGTTTTTTTAAAGAAGTCTCCATGGCCCTAAGGATCAGAAGATCCTTAAACACAGATTTAGTTTTTCACCACGGAGTGTATGTTCTTCTTTATAGTTTTCTTTGTTTTCTAAAAATAATTTTGTAATGTTATAAATAGAGGCGGGGGGGGGGGGCTTTAGAAAAAAGATGGAAAACTAAGGAAAAAATTAATTTATACGTGGAAAAAAGGAAGTTATATGATCCAAAATGAAATACTGTTCGTCTTACTTTTAATGAAAGAACTGTAAATTCAAATAGGCTTCCCAGGTGGCGCTAGTGGTAAAGAACCCACCTGGCAATGCAGGGGACTTAAGAGACAGTGGGTTCCCTCCCTGGGTGGGGAAATCCGCTGGAGGAGGGATGGGAACCCACTTCAGTATTCTTGCCTGGAGAATCCCATGGACTGAAGCCTGGAGGGCTACAGTGCATAGGGTCACAAAGTGTTGGACTTAGCTAGCACATATGCATACATTCAAATTAAATTCTATTTTTTATTCCATTTTTAATTTAAAACTAATGGCGAAAAATTTTTAACTGCTAATACTCAAAGCTGTTAATGAAATACTCTTAGACGATGACCTTCATCCTCTGCTCCTGGGAGCAAATTGGTCAAATGTTTCTGGAAAGTAATTTTCCATGAAGAATCTTAAACATTTACAAACCTAATGTGCAAAAAGTATGTCTCAACAGTTAGAAAGTGTAAAATGAAATGTAATAAAAATGAAATGAATATGTTAAAAAAAAGTAATTTATGAAAAATGTCCATGCCTTTTAATCTGATAATCAGACTTCTGAGAAAATGATCAGAATGTAGTCAAAGACGTATAAACAAGGATATTCTTGCCCCATTATGATTATTTATTACAAATAATTTTAAAGAGCAAATATAAGGTAGTGTTAGCAAAGCATGGTACATTCATGTGATGGAATATTTAACAGCTATTTAAAGTAGCACTTTCAAGTCCACTAATATGAGGTATCTAAAGTAGTCAAATTCAAAGAAAGAGAAAGGAAAATGGTGGTTGCCAGGGGCCGATGGAAGAGGGAAATGAGAAGTTGTTGAATGGTACAGTTTCAAGTTTTGCAAAATGAAAAAGGTCTAGAGATTCTGTGCACAAAAATGTGAATATGCTTAACACTACTGAAATGTACACTTAAAAATGGTTAAGATGGTCAGTTTTGTGTGTTTCAAATCACAATAAAATTTTTGATGTTTTAAAATATTAGTAATGCTTATACAAGTTCAAGGATGTAACAGGAAACAAATTGTATAGTTTCATTCCAATTCGTAATAAATGAACCTGTGCCTCACACATCAGGCTTACTGGCGGTCACAGCAAGAGAGTAACACACTTTTTTTCACTCTTCTTTCCCCCCCCCCAAATGATCATAATGTTTTTATAATCAGGAGAAAAGTTATAAGGAAACAAACTAAAGACTTTCACCATGTTTTTTCAAACAACTTCACTTTTATTCCTTTAGTTTCTCCTTTCAGGATATGATTCCTAGCTTCCATTTAAAAACCTGCCCTATATTTCTGAACTCTCACCCAACCAGTCTTTACATTTTTCTGCTAACATCATTCACTTGCAAGTCCTGAAAAATTCTTTCTCCAAGAACTAATTGAAAAATAGGGAAATTTTTCTCAAACTGTAATCTTACATGACTTACCAAGATTCCCTTATTAATTAACACTCTCATTTAACAATGTTACACTTATCTGAGTACTATTATTATGCCACATATCTCCAGGAGCCTAGATAGCAAACATGTGAACTTGAATAGTCTAAAACGGGGGGATTTCAAACAGGAGTTCACAGACAGAAATCTGGGGGTTTGTGATTTTGGATGAAGAAGAAACCAATCTATATCTTTATTTTCAGTAACCTCTGACTTAAATGGAGTATTTCCTTCTATTATTAATGTAGGCAAAACCTGTAGACATTGTTATATTCCCAGTATCTAACACAATGCCTGGCAGAGTTTCTCAGTAATTAGGGTGGAAGAAAAGAAAGAAGAAATAGAGAGAGGGTGTTTGGAGTATGTCTACATAGCAAGATAACCAGGACTCTTTTCTACGCAGTCGTCCTCTACCTTCATCAATAATATCTTCATAAAATTATCTTACCTCCTAGTTATGTAGCACTTCAGTGTTTTGAACTGTGCCCTATTTCATATGCTCTCCTTAATCATCTTGTGAGTTAGTAAGAGTGTTAGTCACTCAGTTGTGTCTGACTCTTTGCAGCCCCATGGACTGTAGCCCACCAGGCTCCTCTGTCCATGGAATTCTCCAGGCAAGGTTACTGGAGTGGGTAGCCATTGCCTTCTCCAGGGGACCTTCCAAGCTGAGGGTTTGAACCCAGGTCTCCTTCATTGCAGACAGATTCTTTACTGTCTAAGTCACTAAGATAGGAAGGACCGGTATTATTCTCTTCACTAATCCTGTAAGAAACAAGCTTATTGAAAATAAATATTTTTCCTGTGGTTCCACAGTGGATAAATGTCAAAGTCATGTCTAGATTCCCAGCTCTTTCAATAACTAGTTCAATGGTCTTTTCCTTTTATCAGATCACTGGTATTGTTAATAAGATCACTGTTTTCAATAGGTTCCTGTAGAGTATTCACAATTAGCAGGCAGTCATACATTTGGGAGGATTTCCACTGAGCCTCGAGTTGTACCAAGTTGGCCTTCAGGACTGTTCCCTTGGCCAGGTGGAGTCAGCCCTTTTGTTGCAGCTATAGAGAGCATTAATAAAATTCCTAAACAAAAAGGGAGATGAAGACTCCATTGCAACAGGAATGAGAGAGGTTATTTTTCCAACTATGAATTTTGGGAACCTTGTTGTTCTTACTCAGTCACTAAGTCATGTCCAACTCTGTGATACCATGAACTGCAGTACGCCAGGCTCCTCTGTCCTCCATTGTCTGCCAGAGTATGCTCAAATTCATATCCATTGAGTCAGTGATGCTATCTAACCATCTCATCCTCTGTTGCCCCCTTCTTTTGCCTTCAATATTTACCAGCATCAGGGTCTTTTCCAATGAGCTGGCTTCTCACATTGGGCGGCCAAAGTATTGGAGCATCGAAACAAAAACAAAGTATTGGAGTGTCAGCTTCATCGTCAGTCCTTCCTTTCAATATTCAAGGTTGATTTCCTTTAGGATGACTGGTTTAATCTTGCAGTCCAAGGCACCCTCAAGAATCTTCTCCAGCACAATTCCAAAGCATCAATTCTTTGATGCTCAGCATTCTTTATGGTCCAGCTCTCACATGCATACATGACTACTGGAAAAACCATAGCTTTGACAAGACGGACCTTTGTTGTCAAAGTGATGTCTCTGCTTTCTAATATTGCTGTCTAGGTTTGTCATAGCTTTTCTTCCAAGGAGCAGTATCTTTTAATTTTATGGCTGTAGTCACTGTCCCCAGTGATTTTGGAGCCCAGGAAAGTAAAATCTGTCCCTACTTCTGCTTTTCCCCCTTGTATTTGCCATGAAGTGATGGGACCTGATCTATGATCTTAGTTTTTTAAATGTTGAGTTTCAAGCCAGCTTTTTCACTCTCCTCTTTCACCCTCATCAAGAAGCTCTTTAGTTCCTTTTCACTTTCTGCCATTACAGTGTTATCATTTGCATATCTGAGGTTATTGATATTTCTCCAGGCAATCTTGTTTTCTCCAGGAAAACAATAAAATGGGAAAGACTAGAGATCTCTTCAAGAAAATTGGCAATATCAAGGGAACAATTCATGCAAGGATGGGCACGAGAAAGGGCATAAACAGCAAGTAGACCTAACAGAAGTGATTCATCCAGCATGACATTTTGCTTGATGTACTCTGCATATAAGTTAAATAAGCAGAATGACAGTATACAGCCTTGATGTATTCCTTTCCCAGTGTTGAAGCAGTCTATTGTTCCATGTATGGTTCTAACTGTTGCTTCTTGACCCACATACAGATTTCTCAGGAGACAGGTAAGGTGGTCTGGCATTCCCATCTCTTGAAGAATTTTCCACAGCTTGTTGTGATATAGTGAAGGCTTTAACATAGTCATGAAGCGGAAGTAGTTGTTTTTCTGGAATTCCCTTGCTTTCTCTATGGTAAAATAGATGTTGGCAATTTGATCTTGGTTCCTCTGCCCTTTGTAAATCCAGCTTGTACCTCTGGAATTTCTTGCTTCACATATTGCTAAAGCCTAGCTTGAAGGATTTTGAGCATAACCTTGTTAGCATGTGAAAAGAGCACAATT